ATCTGGATGATTTCCTTAGAACAAGGGTCCTCAAACTACAGCCCGAAAGGCTGAGACACATAATTCATTGTCACCCTTGACCCTGGTTTTCCCCCACCCCTTGGGTGTATCATAATTCATATTCTCCAATGAGGCACATTCATAGCCAAGAGTCATCAATCATACTCTCCAGTTAGAATTTTGTGTGGCAGAAACTTTGGTCACCTAGAAACTAACTTTGAAAACATTTATGGAATGCAAGCTGCCTACTGCTCCCCCTTCCCTTTCTGTTAGCAACTCTAAAAAGACCATAAAAATATTTTATGAGTTGACATTCGGCTCTCCTCACTTCTTGAAGGTTACCCGTACAACACAGAGACACAAAAAACAAATTTATTGCAGGTATAGGACTTAGGGTTGCAAACCCTCCCCCCCCCCAGGCTTGGTTGGGTTTTCTGCATGGAACCTCATCACAAGGCAATCGGCTTGGACGTTCCTACTGTTTACCCAAGATGCCTCTGATAAGGGGTAGCCGTTCTACTTGATCAAATATTGGAGTTGTCTCCTGTGCCACCTCGAATCGAGGATTCGCTGCACCTCATAATGGGTTTGGCCTCCTATGACCACGGGGCCCAGGGGCTCACGAGGTAGGGGCCTCAGGGTCGATTCCACCACGGTTTTTAAGAGGCAGACTGCTTGAATGGATATGCCGTCCCTGCAGAGCAGGGTGGTGTAAGAGAATCTCAAGGACACCAGGGCGTGATCTGACCATGACAGGGGGGATAACAACAAGATCCCCCACCAGATCATGTTGCCATTGCTCCAACAAAAAAATCATATCCAGCATGTGACCACTGTTCCAAGTCGTGCCTTGTATGTTCTGGATAGGCCCATGGTCACCACAGCAGCCATGAACTCCTGGGCCGCTTCCAAGGCCAAACCCAGGGACAGCAGATTGAAGTCCCCCAGGACCATAATCCTGGGGAACTCCATTGCCAACCCTGACATGGCCTCCAGCAGCTCAGGCATGGAGGTTACTACACAGCACCCAAATTTGGCCAAGAAAGTATGATTACTTCTTAGAACAGGGGTCTTCAAACTTGACAGCTTTAAGACTTGTGGACTTCAACTCCCAGAATTCCTCCTCCAGTCATGTTAGCTCAGGAATTCTGGGAGTTGAAGTTCACAAGTCTTAAACTTGCCAAGTTTGAATATCCTTGTCTCAGAAGAACATCTAGTGTTTTCTACAGGTGTTCAAGGAAATATACACCGTATCTCTTTCTCTAATTTATCCTTGTAAATAACCACCCTTATAGGAAGTTAATGTGGCAGTTGAAGTTTTACAGCTTAATGTGGATTTCAATCCATGGTGTTAGTCCAACACCCTAGCCACTATCCTGCACTAGCTAAAATGATACTTCAGCTGGTTCTGATAAAGACTGTCCAATCAAGGAAGTCTCCAGGTAAGCACTAGAATGCTATCTTGAACTTCTCTTCTAGAGATGTCACTGAAATTCCATTTTTATCTGGTATGCTATACAACTTGAAATGCTCACTTGCATTAAAAGATGGGCAGCATATACAATTAATAAATAAAACAAAATAAAGCAGTATTTCAAACAAATAAGCTTGTTTGGCATAGGAAAGGAAGGGAGATGAATATGGGGCAAGTGAACCCAAACACAATGACTACACAGAGCACTATCGGTGTCCAAATACTGTAACTAGATGATAAATCACAAGAGGGCAGTGTTTTTCTAAATGCTTAACAAGTTTGGAAAACCAAATCCTGCCAAATGAAGCTCACCTTTCACCAGCAACTGATGAAATATTGTCAGGTGCAAGCAACAAGAACGACTCATGAAGAGGCTCAAGTAGAACCTTTATTGTTACAAGAACCTCGCCAGACTGACTGTATTCCTTTGAGAACAGAGTCAGATACGTTTTCAGGGATTCTAGGGGAAGTCAAGCCTGTGCCGCTTTCTGCAGTGTAAGGACTCTAAGCTCAGCCCTCTCTTAACCCCTCCCTCTAGTCTAGCTGGAGATTCCACCACAAATATTTCAGACATGATTAAGTTCCCCACTACCTTGCTTTACTAGAGTCTGGGTGCACAATGCAAATGGTTATGGCCCTACTCCCAATCTAATACTCCAATACATCTATGTACAGACTATTCCATATACAGGACAGGAAGTTCTGGGAAGTCATGCCTGGATTAGAATATGCAGTTTTTTTCTGAGTCCAAAACTTGCACATTCCAGGCAGAGATGTTCTGCAGTGGGGATAGTGGGAAAGGGGGAATATCAGAGATGGTAACATGAGGCAGCAACTAAAAGTACATAGAAGGAGACTGAGGGTGGGGAGGTTAGAAAGGCTGTTGGTTATGCACAAGGAGAGGTAAGGAGAAAGAGGGCATAGGTAGGTTGGGGAGGGCTGGGTGGACAGATACATAGGCCACACTTGAAAGAGTGGTTGTTGTTGAGGTAATTCCCCGTTAGGAGAATGAGTGCATACAGGGAGACGTATTTGAGAGAAGTGTTTGAATAATACACAAACAGCACACAGATACACTGTACAGTAAATGTAGGTGTTTACTTTTAAACTTTTAAGCAAAGTTCAAAATAAGCAGTCCAAAGTCATTCACAGGTAAGTCAGTCAGTTTTCAGTCCAGGCATAATTCAATAACGAAGTCCAGTGTCAAAAACAGTTCAGTATCAGACTTACATCAAATCCATGAATAACAGTCAATTAGAAGGAATGGCAATACTCTCCAACAGAAGGTAACAGAGAGACTCACTCAGACACACTCTCTTCTGAGACTAAGACTAAGACTAAAACAACCCAGGTTTCTGGCTCCATCTTATGGCCGTTTGAGAAACCACACCCAATTACAGTTTTGCATTTTTAAAAAGATACAGTATTAAAATGTTTATCCTGGTTTATATATTTTCAACCCAAATAGCTGTTAGGTGACTTATATTCCTAACAGTGGTATACAGCTAAGGCAGAGGAAGCCATGGGAAGAATGAGAGACGGAAGGGAGAGCAGGCTACGTGGAGGGGAGAGGTTCACCAACTTTACCCTACTTCCTTTATAAGATCCCTTCCAATTTGCCTGGGTCAAAACACAAAACAACCAAGTAGTTCAACTGGACTGCAATCCTGCCCAAAATGGACCTATCCAAGGTGCAAGCCATAAAGGCCTCATTCCATGCATGCAACTGAAGATACATTTCATTTCTTAACTGCCACCTCTCATCAGGTTTCCAGCAATCCCTCTGATTAAATCATGAGCCTTGAGCCAAACTTCAAAAAGCTTCAAAGAACTCATTAGGAGCGACATATTGGCATGACCTGGATGTAGCTGATTCTGAGACACGTAATTCACTGTCACCCTTGACCCTGGTTAACCCCCCCCCCTTTCTGTTGGAATCTATAAAACGGGCATAGAAAATGTTTTATGAGCTGACACCCCACCTCTTCTGCTAGCATCCTTCACTAGGATTCATGACTTCCTTGTTCCCAAACATAGAATATATTGCTCCCCAATGCCTGAAGCCTGATTTTTTTAACCTTTTTCTCTTCTGCTGCAGTCTGGGACACTATCTAAAGCCAATAGTTCAGAAGACTGATAGCAATAGCACTTAGACTTATATATTGCATCACAGTGTTTTACAGCCCTCTCTAAGCGGTTTACAGTGTCAGCATATTTTCCCCAACAATCTGGGTCCTCATTTTACTGACCTTGGAAGGATAGAAGGCTGAGTAAACCTTGAGCTGGTGAGACTCGAACTGCCAGCAGTTGACAGACAGCAGACAACAGATAATCAGAGTTGGAAGGGACCTTGTAGGTCATCTAGTCCATCCCCCCGCCCAAGCGGGAGACCCTACACCATTTCTGACAAATGGCAGTCCAATCTGCAGAAGTAGCCTGCAGTACTGCATTCTTACCACTGCGCCACCATGGCTTTTATGATGATCATAAAAGCTAAAAATCTCCTTTTCCATTTTGCCTAATTCCATTTAACCCTAACCCTTGCATCCCATATCCTATAACTGAAACAAAAAATCAGCAACAGAATTAATACATATGCTCATTCCTCCTCAGGCCTGAGGAGAGGGGGGTTCAACATTGTTCCAGAGCCCATGGAGCTCAAAGGGGGCCCATGAAGGGGAATTTTTTAAAAAAAATTTACAAAACTGAATTTTAAAAAAGAAAAACAGCGGGACAGTGTGTCAACCTGGATGTGCCCGGGCGGGGATGGGGGGGGTGGGTGGTGAGGGTGACTCGCAGAAAACACTTCAAAGCTGCATCAAATCAACTCATCTGAGGGCAAACAGCAAGGAAGGTGTGTCCTTCCCACATAGCCTGTCAAAATCCTCCATGCCAAAAGGAAGGAGGTGCCACTGTTAGCTTAGTCAGAGGATCTGTGCACGCCAGCCGTGCCAAAGGGTAACTGGTAAGAGGTGGCTTTAAAATGCAGGAGGATAAACAGAAGGAGGAGAGGCCGGGCGGGCAGGCGAGGGAAGTGTCACTTTTCTTTCATTCATATGGGCTAGAGTGAATCATTCTCCCAGTTGAAAAAAATTTTTACTTGTGGGCTGCGTGGACTCCAACACCGCTTCTGTGTACTTTGTCCCCTCTGCTTCCTAATCTGCTTCGCTGCCCTGGTAGCCCCCCCCCCCTTTTTTAATGAGCCTCTTGGTTGGTTAGGAGTTACATTGATGCAGGGAGTAACGTGAAATCCACAGGCTGGTGGGGAGGGGAGACCCTTGTGGTCATGTTAACTTAATATGTAGGTGAGGGGGCCCATATTAGTCTTGTTCCAGAACTTAATAATCCTCTCGGCGGCCCTGTTCCTTCTTGCCCTAATTTTTCTTCAAGATTAGCTGTCAAGCACCTTGAGACATAGAATGTCAAGGTCACGCAGTGCACTGCATCTTGAAGGTACTTAAGAAATCAAACTTGAACTTAGTTGCAACTGCCACGTAACCCCCTACCCCCACCCAAAGGTACTTACAGCTGCAATGGAACTTCCCAGGGAGCTTGTGGTGACAGGAGAGATGGAATTTTCAGAGGAAGCAAAGAGCTGTCGCATGAGTGGAGTATGAGGTGTGGAGGCCATAGAACTTGACAAGTAACTTGGGCCTCCAATCTCTGGATGATGCTTCAACACTGTGCAAGGAAGGAAAAAATAGAAAAGTGAGTGAAAACAATGCCTGTATTATATCCACAAGCATTACACCAGACAGACATCAAGTAATGAACATAGAAGAAATAGAGCACACTTAAGTGAGAGAAACTTCCTCAGGCTGGACTGCTTCTCTAGAGGAAGGAAGTTGTTAAAGCACACAAGACAGACTACAGCAGGTGACACCACTACCCCTTTAATTTCCCAGAAGCAGAAAGCAACCATCTCCAAAGGGAGAGGGGGAACAGAATGCAGAACCCAAGCTCTCCCCAGGCAGACCTGGCTGGGGCCAGCCTACCTTCACTTCTCTTGGAGCTGTCCCGCAATCGCTTTCTCTCATGAACTGCCATCAGGATAAGTGAGCGCTTTGGCACTCTCTCGACCTTGGGGGCAGCCCTCACACCGTTTAAGGGCTGCCTGTATACCTTTTCTGGCTCGATTTTGTGATGTGAGCAAGCTGAGGAGTAGAACAGAAAGAGCCATGAAAATGCCCTGCTTTCGCCTCTTTCCTGCCTTTCAGGACCCAGCCTAGACAAGACCCTAGAAGCCATACAAGCATGACTGCCCGAACAACACAAAGCCATTGGCAGCAACTCCTCTCCAGTGACAACCCCATTAATTCAGCAGTTGCTGTAAAAATCAATTCATCCACCCACCTTGTTTGCAAGGCCTGCAGAACCATGACTTCTAACAGGCTGGCTTCCATTCTGGCCCACAAGTTTGGAAGACTGTGTTAGATATATTCTCTAAAGAGACCCAAGATGCAATTATAGATGGTGCTGTTTGATCACAACAGAACAATCTCAAAAATCAGGAGCAGCAGGATCTGTGTCTTGCTTTATTTTAAGTAATAAACCTACCTTTACATTTTATCAATTATATGCAATGTTCCTGATCCTCAAAGCAGACCATCCACTCAAAAAATAGGAATTGGCATATATGTGTGCACACAAACATATTTTCTCTTGCTCATTTAGGGACACACAGCCAATGTTTAATTGTTTTCAGCTCTGGAACAATGACCATGAAACATTCAAAAGAGTGACTGCATTCTAGATATACTCATCATGGTTTTCCCATATCACTAGCCAACAATAAATAATCTATTATTTCATGTTCCAATACAACTTCTAGATTCCTTGAAAAGTTTTTCCTGGTCAAACAGTCTAGGACAGGGGTGTCAAACTCAATTTCACTGAGGGCCACATCAGGGCAGGGGTGGGCTGCTACCAGTTCTGGTAACTGGTAGCTAATTTTAGCATTTTTAATTACTGGTTCGGTGAACTGGTAAATCCCACCCATGGCTGGCCCTGCCCACACCGCCCCACCCCTCCCAGGAGTCTCCATGCAGCCCATATTGGATGCCAGGCAAGTACAGGGCCCGCACGAATGCTCAGGGAGGGTGAAAAACGGGCCTCCCAGAGGCTCTGGAAGGCTGGAAATGGGCCCGTTTCCGGCCTCCAGAGGGCCCCCAAAGCCCAGGGAGGCCGTTTTCACCCTCCTGGAGGCTTGATAAAACCCTATGGAGCCCAGGGAGGGTGAAAACAGCCCCCCCTCCATGGTTCAGGAGGCTGTCTAGGCCACACCCATCCAGCAACCTGGCAGAGAACTGGTTGCTAAAATTTTTGCAGCCCACCCCTGCATCAGGGTTTTGGTTGACCTTGGGGGGGCATGGCTGGGGTAGGAGTGACATCGCTCATGTCGGGGGATGCCTGTGGTGGCCTGGGTGGGGGTGGGTCTCCAGTGGAGAAAAGCAAGAGCAGGGCAAGCACCAAACCCTAGTACACCAGAGGAACCTCACCATCCCTCTCAGGCCATACAGAGGACCCCAGGATGGCGGCGTGGGTTGCCCGGAGCCCTGGACAGCAGAGTGCAGGGGGGCAAAGCATGTGGGTCAGATGGAGGCCCACTCCCTCTCCTTGTGAGGAGACCCAGCTTTGTAACCAAAGCATCCTCAGCGATAGGATGGGAAACCACCAGGAGAGGTCAGGAAGAGGGAACAAGGGGATGGAGAAGGGGCAGCAGGGCTGCTGGTGGCCAAGTGCTGAGGCAGAACTTCCCTCAGACCCCCCACTCCCCCTCATTATAATCAATCTCCCTTCCTCCCTTTCTTTTCCCCTTTTCTTCTTTTTCCTTCCCTCTTCTTTTTTTTTATAAATTTTTTTATTGTTTTTTAACATACAAACACAACAACAAAACATAAAAGCATCAGCTCCCCCATATTTTTATACAAACAGTAAGTCGGTTGGTCCATCAGTTTTGTGCATTCATCTCATAGTCACAATTACAATTACCTTAAATAATACTCTTATTATCAATACAAATTTATAAATCATAGTATCACTATTAAAAAAAAAGAAATTTGACTAAACTTTTATTCGATCATGCCTTTATGAGAAAACTATATTTTAAATAATTTATTCTAAAACAAGTCTTATAATCATGCCAATTCTCTCCTAAACAGGAAAGAAAGAAAAAAGAAACAGAAAACTATTATATAAATATAGTATCAAACACCAATAAAAAGAAAAGAAAAATAAAATCAATATTATTTCTTATTGTCTAACCTTTATATTTTGGTATTTCATCATTCAACCATTGATAGAAGAGATCCCAAACTATATAAAATTGTTTATCTTCTTGCTCTCTAATTTCAAAAGTCAATCTACTCATCTCAGCACATTCCAATATTTTCTTTACAACTTCTTCTTGCAATGGAATTTTCTCATTTTTCCAATTTTTTGCAAATACAATCCTAGCAGCAGTCAATACATTTACAATCAAATATTTCAACTCTTTACTATAGGTATCTGGTAGGATTCCCAATAAAAAAAACTCCGGTTTCAAGTCTATATGCTTCTTTGTCATTTTTTCCAACCACATGTGGATTTTAGTCCAATATTTTCTAGCATCCTCACAAGTCCACCACATATGGTAGTATGAACCAGGTTTCTGATGACACTTCCAGCATTTTTCAGATTTGTTCTTGAACATTCTTGCTATCCTTGTCGGGGGAAAATGCCACCTGTAAAACATCTTATACAAATTTTCTTTATAGGCTGTAGACATTGTCATTTTATAATTTTGCAACCATAAATTCTGCCATTTCTCTAAATCAATCCCATATCCAAAATTCCTCCCCCACGCAATCATAGTTTCTTTAACTTGTTCTTCCTCCAGCTTAATTTCCAATAAATAACCATACAGCTTTTTAATCACCTTTTCATCAGTACCCATCAAAATCTTATCTAAATCAGTTTGCTTATCATAAAATCCCTCTGCTTTGGAATCCTCATAGTACTTTGAATGTATTTGCAGATATGAAAACCAATTCATCTGTATACCTTGTTCTTCTAGTTTTTGCATCGATTTAAGTTCACCCTTTTCATCTAGTAATTCCCCATAGCTAACTGTTTGTTCCTTTTTATAAATTATAGGATAAGAGAACGCTTCTATCGTCGATAACCAAACTGGAATTTTCAAATAACACTGTTTTTTTGTCTTCTCCCAATTTAACCACAAAGACTCCCGTATATAATGTCTTCTAAAATACCCCTGTGTTTTGGTTCCCTTGTACCATAAAAAAGCATGCCAGCCCAACAGCAAATCATGACCTTCTAATGTCAACAATCTGGTTTTCCTTAATGTTATCCATTCTTTAACCCACGTCAAATTTGCAGCTTGGTAGTACAACTCCCAATTAGGCAGACCAAACCCTCCTCTAAATCTAGCATCCTGTAAAAGCTTTAACTTTATTCTTGCTTTCTTGCCTTGCCATATATACTTCAAAACAATTTTATTTAAATCCTCAAAGTATTCTTTTCCAAGCCTAATTGGTATTGTTTGAAACAAAAATAAGATTCTGGGTAAAATGTTCATCTTAATTGTTGAAATCCTTCCTATTAATGACAGTTGTAGGTTTTCCCATTTTTTTCAAATCTTGGGCTATCTGTTGTTTAAGTTTAATATAATTGTTCTCCTTCAATGTACTACATCTTGACGTCAAGTATATCCCCAAATACTTAACCTTGTTTGTAACTTGAATTTTTAACAGTTCTGCCAGCTCTTCTCTTTGTTTCAGCAACATATTCTTTGACAAAATCTTTGTTTTATCTTTATTTATTTTCAAACCGGCCACCTCCCCATAGGCCTCTATCTTTTCCAACAGCTTCGAGGCTGTTTCTATAGGATCTTCCAGGATGAAGACTAGGTCATCTGCAAAAGCTTGTAGTTTGAATTCTTCCTTTTTGATTTTCATTCCTTTTATAGTTTTATCTTCTCTGATATTTCTATTCAACACTTCCAAAGTCAATACAAATAACAAAGGCGAAAGAGGACAACCTTGTCTTGTACCTTTTCTTATATTAATAGAATCTGTAAATTCTCCCTCCATCATTACCTTAGCTGTTTGTTCACTATAAATTGCTTCTATTGCTTGAATAAATCTTCTAGCAAAGCCCATCTGTTCCATTAAAAGTACCATAAACCTCCAATTTACATTATCAAATGCCTTTTGAGCATCTAAAAATATCAAAGCCATTTGCTTTTCAGGGTGTGCCTCATAATATTCCAAGGTGTCCAAAATTACTCTCATATTATCTCTAATTTGTTGCTTTAGCAGAAACCCATTTTGATCTGGGTGAATAAAGTTATTCAAATACTTTTTAAGTCTTTCTGCTAATATTGAAGCAAAAATTTTATAATCTGCGTTTAATAGGGAAATCGGTCTATAATTCTTGATTTGAAGTAGATCCGCCTCCTCTTTTGGAATAAGTGTAATATAAGCCTCTGACCATGTTTTAGGAATTATCTTTTTTACCATAACTTCATTCATAACTTCTAACAGTGGAATACACAATAATTCTTGAAAGGTTTTATAAAATTCTACAGGAAATCCATCTGGACCTGGTGCCTTTCCATTATTTTGTTTCTTAAGTGCTTGACTTAACTCCATCATTGTTATATTGCTTTCTAGCATTTCTTCAATCTCTTTAGGTATCTTAGGTAGATTTACATTCTGCAGGTATTGTTTAACTTTCTCCTCATCAATATCTTCTTTCTTATACAAATGTTTATAAAAATCATAAATAATTTCTTTTTTCTCTTTGCTGCCATGACAAGTTTTACCTTGGTCATCTATTAACTGCAGTATTTTCCTCGATTCTTTCTCCTTTCTCAGTTTGTATGCTAGCCATCTACCTGGCTTATTTGCATCCTCAAAGTAATTCTGTTTAGCATTCCTAATTTTCTGTGCCAGTTCTTCTTTCTCTATTAAGTCCATTTTATGTTTAGTTATATCCAGTTTCAGTTTGACATCTTTTCTGTGTGGTATTTTCTGTAATTCTTTTTCAAGTCTTTTATATTCATCATCCAAGGCTTTAAGAGTTTGCCTTTTCCTAATATTCTTTTTTCTTGTATAGTCTATTATCAAGCCTCTAGCATAAGCCTTCATTGTGT